TTATTATATACGTCGAGTGCGTGTGTTTTATGACACCTTTTTTATGTACTTTGTAAATTTTATTATTTTTGTAATGTACGTAGTTGAAGGGGTTTTCAAATAAAAATCACACCCTCACAAACATTTTCTACAACAATATTTATCGGTAATGATTTTTATAAATTTCTATCTGTCTCTTTACCTTGTTATAGTTCTGTGGTGTTTTTTGGTCTATATACATATGTATCAATAAATCTAATAAATGCTCGTAATTTATCTGTTATTTACCTTTTAAATATTTGTATGTATTTGTTAGATCTTTATACATGATTTTTTGTTATATATTTACCTATAGTGCATTTAACTACTTTGGATCCGTCCGTCTGTATGTTGTTTGTCGCATTTTATTTGTTTATTAAACAGGTCTATTAAATCGTCGACACTCGTATGACGATGATGATGATGACTTAATGATAGTCAATCAAAAAATGTTGTTTTTATAGATAAGTAATAGGAATGTAAGAACAAATTAACTATTAAGATAGGGGAAAAATAAATCAGCGACTTTAAAGGAAATAAATTATTTTCAATCAACTTTAAAATGAGTCTAGACTATAGACTAGACTATAGACTAGACTATAGACTAGACTAAAGACTAGACTATAGACTAGACTATAGACTAGACTATAGACTAGACTATAGACTAGACTATAGACTAGACTATAGACTAGACTATAGACTAGACTATAGACTAGACTATAGACTAGACTATAGACTAGACTATAGACTAGACTATAGACTAGACTATAGACTAGACTATAGACTAAACTATAGACTAGACTATAGACTAGACTATAGACTAGACTATAGACTAGACTATAGACTAGACTATAGACTAGACTATAGACTAGACTATAGACTAGACTATAGACTAGACTATAGACTAGACTATAGACTAGACTATAGACTAGACTATAGACTAGACTATAGACTAGACTATAGACTAGACTATAGACTAGACTATAGACTATAGACTAGACTATAGACTAGACTATAAACTAGACTAGACTATAGACTAGACTATAACTAGACTAGACTATAGACTAGACTATAGGACTAGACTATAGACTAGACTATAGACTAGACTATAGACTAGGACTATAGACTAGACTATAGACTAGACTATAGACTAGAACTATAGACTAGACTATAGACTAGACTATAGACTAGACTATAGACTAGACTATAGACTAGACTATCAGACTAGACTATAGACTAGACTATAGACTAGACTATAGACTAGACTATAGACTAGACTATAGACTAGACTATAGACTAGACTATAGACTACACTATAGACTAGACTATAGACTACACTATAGACTAGACTATAGACTACACTATAGACTAGACTATAGACTACGACTATAGACTAGACTATAGACTAGACTATAGACTAGACTATAGACTAGACTATAGACTAGACTATAGACTAGACTATAGACTAGACTATAGACTACTATAGACTAGACTATAGACCTAGACTATAGACTAGACTATAGACTAGACTATAGACTAGACTATAGACTAGACTATAGACTAGACTATAGACTAGACTATAGACTAGACTATAGACCTATAGACTAGACTATAGACTAGACTATAGACTAGACTAGACTACTAGACTACTACGACTAGACTAGACTATAAACTAGACTAGACTATAGACTAGACTATAGACTAGACTATAGACTAGACTAGACTAGACTATAGACTAGACTATAGACTAGACTATAGACTACACTATAGACTAGACTATAGACTACACTATAGACTAGACTATAGACTAGACTGGTCTATAGACTAGACTATAGACTAGACTATAGACTAGACTATATACTAGACTATAGACTAGACTATAGACTAGACTATCGACTAGACTAGATTAGACTAGACTAGACTATAGACTAGACTATAGACTAGACTAGACTAGACTAGACTAGACTAGACTAGACTAGACTATACTAGACTAGACTAGACTAGACTAGACTAGACTAGACTAGACTAGACTATAGACTAGACTATAGACTAGACTAGACTTTAGACTAGAATTTAGACTAGACCATAGATATTGAGACTGTGCGAAAATGTTTTAAATTCTAAAAATCACTCTCTCTAAATTAGAAGAAAGAACTAGTGCTTCTAAAAAATACTTAAGTGATCTTCAGTGTGGATTCTTTTTGTAGGAAACATTTTTCCTTTTCCAGGTTTTCCCCCACAATTTCAAAATAAACTTCTACGATAATTTCCCCGACGAATTACTTCTTAATTTTGTACAAATTAATAACAACAACAACAAAACCAATTTTGTTCTAATAACTTATGTTACTGAAATGTATTTTATAATTTAACACAACCTACCTGTATTTGCATTTTTTGTACCTGTACTGCAATCTGCACATTTATCCATTAATTTATCATTTTTCAAAAACATCATCACAACTTGGGTTTTGAAAAATATTTTCATCAAATGAAATTTTTGCACAAAACATTTAAATTCCGATGCAACCGCATTTTGTTGTATTTTGCAGACTTCTTTGAAATTTTTTTAAGGCAAACGCCTCCATGCAACATGTTGCTTGCTAAGTTTGTTTGATTTTCAAACATAATTGTTGTAGACATGAATGTTGCAGTTTCGTTGTATGGTATTGAGGTTGCGACTGGAAATTTCTGCAATAGGGCAATGTAGGGTGATTGTGACTGATGGCTGAAATAAATGATATATAATAAAATCGTTAGTAATAGAATGATTCAATTAAAATGAAAACTAATTGCATTAATTATTACTTAATTATTCGGGCTATTGGTCCTAGCTATATATCTAAACTTTTTAGATATCTTTCTGTTGATCCCAAATGTTTGTTGTTAATAATTAACAAAAAGGGATAGCGGAATAATTTTGGCAAATTTAGTTAGTTAGTTAGTTAGTAGTTAGTTAGTAGTTAGTTAGTTAGTTAGTAGTTAGTTAGTTAGTTAGTTAGTTAGTAGTAGTTAGTTAGTAGTTAGTTAGTTAGTTAGTTAGTTAGTTTAGTTAGTTAGTTAGTTAGTTAGTTAGTTAGTTAGTTAGTTAGTTAGTTAGTTAGTTAGTTAGTAGTTAGTTAGTTAGTTAGTTAGTTAGTTAGTTAGTTATTAGTAGTAGTTAGTTAGTTAGTTAGTTAGTTAGTTAGTTAGTTAGTTAGTTAGTTAGTTAGTTAGTTAGTTAGTTAGTTAGTTAGTAGTTAGTTAGTTAGTTAGTTAGTTAGTTAGTTAGTTAGTTAGTTAGTTAGTTAGTTAGTTAGTTAGTTAGTTAGTTAGTTAGTTAGTTAGTTAGTTAGTTAGTTAGTTAGTTAGTTAGTTAGTTAGTTAGTAGTTAGTTAGTTAGTTAGTTAGTTAGTTAGTTAGTTAGTTAGTTAGTTAGTTAGTTAGTTAGTTAGTTAGTTTAGTTAGTTAGTTAGTTAGTTAGTTAGTTAGTTAGTTAGTTAGTTAGTAGTTAGTTAGTTAGTTAGTTAGTTAGTTAGTTAGTTAGTTAGTTAGTTAGTTAGTTAGTTAGTTAGTTAGTTAGTTAGTTAGTTAGTTAGTTAGTTAGTTAGTTAGTTAGTTAGTTAGTTAGTTAGTTAGTAGTTAGTAGTTAGTTAGTTAGTAGTTAGTTAGTTAGTTAGTTAGTTAGTTAGTTAGTAGTTAGTTAGTTAGTTAGTTAGTTAGTTAGTTAGTTAGTTAGTTAGTTAGTTAGTTAGTTAGTTAGTTAGTTAGTTAGTTAGTTAGTTAGTAGTTAGTTAGTTAGTTAGTTAGTTAGTTAGTTAGTTAGTTAGTTAGTTAGTAGTTAGTTAGTTAGTTAGTTAGTTAGTTAGTTAGTTAGTTAGTTAGTTAGTTAGTTAGTTAGTTAGTTAGTTAGTTAGTTAGTTAGTTAGTTAGTTAGTTAGTTAGTTAGTTAGTTAGTTAGTTAGTTAGTTAGTTAGTTAGTTAGTTAGTTAGTTAGTTAGTTAGTTAGTTAGTTAGTTAGTTAGTTAGTTAGTTAGTTAGTTAGTAGTTAGTTAGTTAGTAGTTAGTTAGTTAGTTAGTTAGTTAGTTAGTTAGTTAGTTAGTTAGTTAGTTAGTTAGTTAGTTAGTAGTTAGTTAGTTAGTTAGTTAGTTAGTTAGTAGTTAGTAGTTAGTTAGTTAGTTAGTTAGTTAGTTAGTTAGTTAGTTAGTTAGTTTAGTTAGTTAGTTAGTTAGTTAGTAGTTAGTTAGTAGTTAGTTAGTTAGTTAGTTAGTTAGTTAGTTAGTTAGTTAGTTAGTTAGTTAGTTAGTTAGTAGTTAGTTAGTTAGTTAGTTAGTTAGTTAGTTAGTAGTTAGTTAGTTAGTTAGTTAGTTAGTTAGTTAGTTAGTTAGTTAGTTAGTTAGTTAGTTAGTTAGTTAGTTAGTTAGTTAGTAGTTAGTTAGTTAGTTAGTTAGTTAGTTAGTTAGTTAGTTAGTTAGTTAGTTAGTTAGTTAGTTAGTTAGTTAGTTAGTTAGTTAGTTAGTTAGTTAGTTAGTTAGTTAGTTAGTTAGTTAGTTAGTTAGTTAGTTAGTTAGTTAGTTAGTTAGTTAGTTAGTTAGTTAGTTAGTAGTTAGTTAGTTAGTTAGTTAGTTAGTTAGTTAGTTAGTTAGTTAGTTAGTTAGTTGGTTAGTTAGTTAGTTAGTTAGTTAGTTAGTTAGTTAGTTAGTAGTTAGTTAGTTAGTTAGTTAGTTAGTTAGTAGTTAGTTAGTTAGTTAGTTAGTTAAGTTAGTTAGTTAGTTAGTAGTTAGTTAGTTAGTTAGTTAGTTGTTAATAGCTTACTGAAATCTCTTTCCTCTTACATTCCAGAAAATCATCCACTATTCCGACTGTCAGAACCACTGTACAATCCATCAGCAACAGAAAATGTTGCAAACATAACACTGGAAAATAGCCGCATGCCAACATGTTTGATGCGTTTGTGCACAACATCAAACGCAACCATACGGCAAAGCGTACAAAAACATAGAGTTTGATTAGTCAATATTGGGATTTCGTGGAAAGTGGTTGAACGAACGGAATATTGTATTGCAAAGCGATAAAAGTAAAAACGGTCGTTTTAAAATTTTTGGTGAAAATTCTAAGTAAAAAATAATCAAAACAAATGAAATTAAAGTTTTAAGTGAAATCATAAGAAAGAAAATAAAAGTTGAAAGAAAAATTGGTTTAAAGAAAACTAAAGTGGAAATTAGAAAGGAAGTTAAAGCAAAAAAAGAGAAACGGAAATTAAATTATTATTAAAACAGGAAATAACAAGGAAAAAGTGCAAAAATATTTATTGAAAATTAAGTGTTGGTTGTTAAAGAAAACAACAAAAAATGATGACAAATTAAAATATTTGTACAAAATCCTGTAAATGTCTAAAAAAGTAATTAAATTGAAAAAATTTTCATATTAAAAGAAAATTTGAAATTGTCTTTAAAATTTGTAACTTGTAAAGTGATTTGAAAAAACACAAAATTTTTTTGGCGCCTTTCAAAAGAAAACAAAATTTAAAAATTATTAATTAAAAGGTTGTGAAATATTTGCAAAAATAAAGTGTTTTTTTAAACAAAGTTAACAAAAAAAAATATTTACAAAAATGCAAAAATAACTTGTGTATAACATTTGAAAAATTTAGTGAATTGCTGCTGCTTTAACCCTAAAACAATACCTTACCAAACCACCCCTAATTTAAGCGGCACTATTTTAATAGATTAAAAAAATCTGATTATGGAGGACGAATTACGTTGCCCTACTTGCAAACAGCTCTTTGCTAATCCCGTTTTGCTGCCTTGTTTTCATGCTCTGTGTTTGGGTTGTGCTCTGGATATACAAACACCCTATACACCGGGAGCCATATTAGCTTCGGTTACTGGCGGTTCAGCCTCTTTAAATGGTGGCACCATACACAGTGTAGCCGCCACCATACATCCACATCCTTCGGGTGCAGCCTCCAATCATCATACACACTCCCATACACACGCTGCCACTAGACATTCATCAAATTCTTCTGCAGCCAGTACTGCCAGTTCGGCTACCGGTTCTGAATCGGTTACATCCGATCAAGATCAAGCCGATAAAGTTAGCATTTTAAGTGAAGCAGATTCGGGTGTTGTTTGCTGTTCTAATACTTCACGTCCCGTATCCTACGCTGGTACTGGTCATATACAAGGATTATTGCAAGGTGCTGCCTCTGCACCACCTGGTGCTGCTTACAGCCTCACTTGTCCTTTGTGTCGTAAAATTGTTTTCTTTGACGAGGGTGGTGTACGCAACTTACCACCCTATCGTGCCATGGAATCTATTGTAGATCGTTTCTGTGCTCGCGAAGCTTTACGCTGTCAAATGTGCGAAACAGATCCTAAAGTGGCTTCGTTAGTGTGTGAACAATGTGAAATACGTTATTGCGATGCTTGTCGTGAACTATGCCACCCGGCTAGGGGTCCTTTGGCCAAACATAATTTGGTTAAGCCAAAGGGTGCCGCTCAACAGCGTGAATCGGTTTGTGGTGAACATGAAGATATTTTGTCAATGTATTGTCTTACATGCAAGATGCCAGCTTGTCCGGAGTGTATTAATGATCAGCGTCATCCCCAGCATGAAGTTCAACCGATCAGCACTACTTGTAAAGCTCAAAAGGTAAGAGAGTGAGATGTTTTGGTTATTATTTAAAGGAGAATCTAGAAAGATTCCGGGTGTTTTAAAAGACATTTTTTAAGTTAATGTTTAAGGAAGTTACTATAGAGAGGGCTAATAATGGTATTTTCAAGAAAATTTTGATATTAATTGGATTTCCCAAATTTGTATTGGAATTGGAGTTTTTAGAAATACATTTCGGATTTCTTGGGTGTAGATAAGTATCTGAAACCGAGAAATTTTAAGTTTTTAAAAGAAACTGATTAAATTTCTTTCATAGAATTTGTAGGACTCCTTAGCAATAAGTTCAGCGATGATCAGCTCTATTTGTAAAGCTTAGGTAATAAGAGAGAAGTAGAAATAGAGAGATAGAGAGAGAGAGAGAGTATTGTTTTGGCATGAGTTTTTAAATGTTATTCTAAGAGGGCTTGAGGGACCTACTACACAATTTTGATGAAATAAATTAACTTTAAGCAAAAAGTTAAGGCAAAATTTTATTTTTGAAATTGTCTTCTAGATTTCCTAAGATCTTGAGTTACCACTTTAATGCTTGTCAATAGTTTTGAAATATGAGCAGAAGACAACAACTGTATTCCTTAAAGAAACATTTTCGAAATAGAAACTTTATAAGTTAAAGAAATTGCTATCGATTTGAGGCGCCTGGGAATCGAACTCTGGTCGCAATTGTCAAGTCAAGCATTATAGTCAAACGAGCTAACTAACCATTTCTAGCTACAGCATCCTCTTTTGGAAGTATTTCGTGAGAATATTATAAATTAGACAGTCACTCAGTTCTAAATTTTTAAATTTGTTTTAATCAAGTTTTTTTTAAAACGTCTGTCCATCCTGTTGAAATCAATTTTCTTCAGGGTCCAAAACTTCTATAATATTTTCAGACATGTTTTCGTGTAGTAGTATTATTCCAATCTCAAAAGTCACTCCTTAATAATGGAGATATGAGCACAATTTGCACTTTATTATAGTTTTCTGGATGTATCTCGGATCCTATGTAATGTTTGTGGACGAAATGCATATCAAAGGAAATGTATTTTAGAGCTGTTTCATATCATATACAAGTATATAATGTCATGATAACCATTTATGTGCAGAAGTTAAGATATTTTTTTTTTGTAAAACTTTAGCTTTTTTAGTTCTTTCGCTAGTTACCAGAGATTGAACTGATGTCCTTCTGTCCGTATGATGTTTGCGATTTACTTTCCAAAGACTTCAAATGTTCTGCGGACCAAATTTTGGGAATAATTTTCGAACACATTTCTATTATTAGATACATTTTTGGTTCAGCAAACTTAACTTATAACACGCTACTCAATAACTAACCAGCAAAAACTTTTATTGAAAAGTTAAAATCTTAAAATTTACTTTCACAATGGCATTTTAAGTCATTATTTTAATACACTGATGACATAGGAAGCAAGTGCGTAATATGCTTGCTTACAAGTAGGGAGTGAAATAAGTAGTTTTGTTTTTGAGAAGATACTTTAGGTTTGTCTACTATAAGTTTTGTAAAAAACTATATTCGATAACAAATAGTGACAAGACTAAAGAGTAAGAACTCATGTATAAAATTATTTTTTAAGGCATTACTACATACCTTCTAAGTAATGCAGGCGTAATGTATTAGTCATTGAAAAGTAAGTTTCTAGTAAGTACAAGTCATTACCAAGCTGGGTAAAGTGCTGTCTACATAGTGTAGTGGATGCTTACTTCTTCAGTAGTCCTCTTTCTCGCAAAGCTAATCAATCTGTATATATTTTATCATTCGATTTATATTGATAATATTACTCATTACTTATAAGTAGTTATAAAACTAGAAAGTTTTTTTATCCTTAGACCATATTACGTATGTATGTATTTAAAAGCTTAATTCCTCCCAGCATTTCTCTTATCCTTAAAACTTTAATTTCTCTCCTTTTTTCTGCTTATTGGAAAATATATTTATTTCTCTCTATTTAAGCAGTTATAAATCTATCAAATGTTTTATTATTTAAGGAGAAAAAAGGACCTTTAAATACTAATGAAAAACATAAATTGTACAACATACCAACGAAAAAGTACTTCAGATATGTTCAGAAAAAACAATACATTTGCTTTCTAAACATGTAAATATACATACTTACATATAACAGCATAAATAAAGATTGTTAAAATATTTATTTAGTTCTTTTTTCCGGTATTACTAGTAGTTTTTTGTTATGGTTTAACTAAAACTATAAGGATTTTCTTCGTATTTCTATGAATGTTAGTTTACTACAGTATACTGGGATGAGTATCGTAATAAACTTGGTGAATATAAGAAAATCGTTCGAAGAGCCAAACGAGACTCCTGGAAACTTTTCTGTGAACAGGTAGATAGCGTAAATGAGGTATCGAAGATAAAAAAATTCCTATCCAAAACTCATGTCCAACCGGAATCTATGATCGATGACACGGGCAGGAGGCTTGAGGATATGGAGGAGACAATGAAACTCCTAATGGATTCTCATTTCCCACCCGGTATATCGAATAACATAGATGAACCGATATTGGAGGAAGGGGAGGGTAACACGGAAATAGTTATTACAACTGACATGGTTAAAGGGGCAATCAAGAGCTTTGCTCCCTATAAAGCTGCAGGGCCGGATGGAATTTTCCCGGCACTTTTGCAGATGGAGGCGGGACTGGTTTCCGTACATCTGTCACAGATATTCACTGCATGCTTAAAATTGGCATATACCCCAGTTAAATGGCAGGATGCAAGGGTAATATTTATACCCAAACCAGGGAAACCTAGCTATGCGACACCTAAGTCCTATCGACCGATAAGTCTTACGTCCTTCCTACTTAAAACCTTGGAACGGATAGTCGATAGCATGGTTAAAAGCAGCATACCATACAATGACCTTAAATATAAGCAGCATGCTTATGTAAAGGGACGATCGGTGGAGACCGCTTTAAATGAAGTTGTCCACTACATAAGTGAATCTTTCGATAGCAAACTGTATACACTGGCAGTATGCATTGACATCGAAGGCGCTTTCAATAACGTGCACACTGATACCCTTATCCAATCCCTAGACCAGTTTTATGTTGACCGGGTGCTCCGTAACTGGATCAACTACATGCTAAGGAACAGATGGATAAGCTGCGAGATGTACGATATAACTATCAGGAAAAAGGTATTTCGCGGTATACCACAGGGTGGCATTTTGTCACCTTTACTCTGGGTCACCACGATTAATAGCCTCCTAAGGACCCTAACCGAGAAAGGACTTAGACCTGTCTGCTATGCAGACGATGTCGTAATACTTTTAAAGGGAAAGGATCCAAATTACTTGTGTAGAAGAGCTGAGGAGGCTCTGAATACGGCCTTGAGCTGGGCTCAACCGAGAGGCCTCAATGTTAACCCGGCGAAGACGGAAATCTGTCTTTTCACAAGAAAGACAAAAATTTCTACATATACTGAACCTTGCTTCTTGGGCAAGAAGATACCGGTGACAGACAAAGTTAAGTACTTAGGTGTAATACTTGACCGGAAATTAAAATGGAGACACCACATAGAGGATAGGATCAACAAGGCACATCGGTGCTGGGCGATATGTAGGAGAACCATAGGCATGAAATGGGGTCTTAGTCCTACTATGACAAATTGGCTTTATAAAAGTGTAATTAGACCAATTCTAGCTTATGCTTCAATAATCTGGTGGACTGCTTTGGACAAAAAGTGTAATATCAAACTACTACAGGGAGTTCAGCGTACATGCTGCTTGGGTATAAGTGGTGCCATGTGTACTACTTCAACCAAGGCTCTGGAAACGTTGCTAGATATTCCACCCATTGAAACATATATAAGATATGAGGCGGCGCTTACAGCCGAACGGCTCTTTACTTTAGGCGAACTGGCCAAAAACGGTTATAGGACACGTCATCAATGTATACTGGACACATTGGAAGGTTATACACATTCATCGGACGTGCCTGATCGCATACCAGACACTGAATATGTCGGAAACTTTGAAACGCTAATCCCAGATAGAATGTCTTGGTCAAGCGGAACATTAGAGCAAATACCAGTAGGAATCCGTTGCTACACGGATGGCTCTAAATTAGGGGACAAAGTGGGTCTGGGGTTCTATATTGAAGACCCAGAAACAGAAATATACCACCGTTTACCTAATCATAACACAAGCTTCCAGGCAGAAGTACGAGCAATAACGGAATGTGTAAATTGGATTAGAATAAATATGGCGCCCACAGGGCTTAATATATTTACCGACAGCCAGAAGGCAATTTGTGCGATATCAGGTGATAGAATTAAATCTAAGACCGTATTGGATTGTAAGAAAGCTTTAACTGAATACTCTCCCAGAGGTAAGGTTCACATCATATGGGTACCAGGCCACTCGGGAGTAGCCGGCAACGAAAGGGCGAATGTAATAGCTTTAAAGGGAAGGGAGCTCGATGTAGTTAACCTGACAAACGCAAAACCATTCGACGCAACAAAAGCTGAATTAAAAATATGGATGAGAGAATCCCATAAGGCCTCTTGGAATAATGAAACGGTGGGTAGAACCACAAAGATTCTATGGGGTGACCCTGATGAGAGCAAGACGAGAAATCTTCTCAAAATGAGCAAGTCTGAGGTTAGTATGATGGTACGTATTCTCAGTGGACACACAGGATTACGAGCACATCTATACAAAATTGGACGTGCGAATTCAGACGAATGTAGAGCATGTGGAGAGGACAGTGAAACTCTGGAGCACTTTCTTTGCCATTGTCAGGCATTCGTCGAAGTTAGATCCAAGTATCTTGGAAGTGATGTTATTCCAGAAATAACATTCTTAACCAACACCGATTGGAAGATTCTTAGGAATTACGTCCAGGAAACTGAGTTTCTGAACATGGAAAAATAATACATTCAGTGAACAATTTTTTTTTTTTTTTTTCTTGAATTGGAGCGCACAACAGGCCCGATAGTGGCCTAGGTGTATTTCTTCGGATTT